GGGAGAAGCGGCCTGGGCGGGGCCCCGGGCACGAGAGGAGGGTCAAAGCCCCGCCCTGGGGCCCGGCTGCCTGCTCTGCTCTGGTTTCTGCTCTGGTTTCTGCAGACCTCGAGCAGGCGACCTCTCGCTGGGTTTCTCCCGCCGGCTCTCCCTGCTGCTGCTCCCTCCCCCACATGCGCAAGCCAGTGCCATCCAGGGCTCTTCATGGCTTCCTGCTGGGGTCCTGAGTCCGTGGTTTCTGTGGGGTGAAGTGGGAAAGAGGGTTCGCAGCCCAGGCTGGCTCGCCATCCTGGCTGTACGTCCACGATGTCTTGCGTCCGGGAAGTCTGGTCCGCTCCCCGGTTCTGAGGGGCTGATGAGGAAGCTGACGTGAGGTTCAGGGCTTTGGGGGACACTCCTTACTCAGGAGTTCAGCGACCTGGCTGGTCATCTCTCCGCCACCGGCCCTCTGTTGTCTTCAGGAAATGCTTTTCATGACAAAACACATTAACCACATCGTGCCACTTGAGAAACCAGAGCAGGCGGGTGTGCGGTGCTGGGGCCGTCTACACTGTGTAAACCTGAGCTGCTCTTCCTGAGATAATAGAAGCGGAAGGAAGGGCAGACGTGGGCCAAGCGCGAGCTGCTAACTGCCTGGAGCACCGTGGCCGAGACAAGACACTGGGAGGCTTGAGGCACCTCATCCAGTCGCCCGGAGGGCCCCACAGGCTGCAGCCGCGGGGCAGCCCCACCCCTGCCACGGGCTCAGGGAGGAGGCAGGCGCGCTGCTGACTGAGCTCCGCTGTAGCCCAGAGAGCTCACCCGGCCTCACAGCAAGCTGTTGGCATGGGTGGCCTCGCTCCCTTCTGACATGGAATCTCCACGCAGGGCCTTTGTAGTTATCAGAACATATCAGAGCTGGAGAGAAGCCTTGAAGGCTGTTGGCGCCAACACCTGAGCAAAGAGAAGGGAACTGAGGCTCAGAGCACAATGCGCGTGTCCAGGTCTGCGCAGAGCTGGACCGGCACCGGGCCCCCCGCGAGCGGCAGCTTCTCCTTGCCCCGGCCTCACGGCGGGGCCGTACCCCACCTGCTTCCCCGTCTGGACGGCGGTGGCCGCCTCAGGAGGACGCTTACTGTGCTCCTTTGCCCTTGGGCACAGGGACAGCAGGGCCGGTGCAGGGGTGTCTGTAGAACATGGGGTCGTCTGCTGACCACACCAGCTGCCCTCTGCCTCTGACCACCTTGCAATATACAGCAACCCGAGGGCACCTGTGATCAGGCCTCCTCGCTCCGTGGACGCTTGCTCTCCAGGCCTCAGAGGGGGCGGACAAGGTGCCCAGGGCCCAGGAGCGGCACCAGGATCAGCCAGGCAGTGGGGAGTGGCCCAGAGGGGCTGGAGGGGCAGCAGGGCCTGGACTTCCCGTGACAGGGCAGCGGGTGGGAGGCCTACAGCCCCTGGCCTGAGCAGGTTGATGGGAGGTGGGACTTCCAGGGGCAGGAAGACCACCACACTAGTCCAACAGGGAGGCTGAGTTAACAGGACCTCACCTTGACAGCAAGAGGGACTGCGGGGGCTGAGGTGGGCCAGGCTTAGAGACCGAGCCCCTGAGGAGTGGTGGGGGGAGAGCAAGAGCATGCTGACCCCTGCCCTGGCCATTCCTTTAAGATGCCCCCAGGGCAGAGGGCCCCCCCCCACAGGCAGGAGGGCAGATGAAGATGGACATCCCAGGGTCTGGCCACCACCCTTCCCCACCCACAGTTCCCACCTCCTCTGCCCCTCCCAGGCTCCCTTAACACAAGTCTTGTGGTCACGGGTGGTGGGTGCGTGGTTAGTGTGCAGAGAGCTAATCAGCTTGGCCATGAAGGCAGGCAGCCCCATACAGCTTGGGAGGGCGGGTTCAGGCTGTCCCTGCATCACAGGCTGGGTGTCCGAGTCCCAGGCCCCAGGGGTCCACAGCCCCAGACGCCATTGTAGCTGGCATGGGGCCAGGGCAGCCACGCCGAGGGGCCGGTGAGGGATCCTTCCCACGGGGGGCCGTCTGGCGGGGATACGTGCCTTTCCAGACAACAGCAGTGGGGGAGGGCTGAGCACCTGCATGACAGCAGGGGCGTGGGCCTTACCACATCCCCTCCAGGACTGCAGCCAGGCTGTGGAAGGCGCAGGGAGGGAGCCCCAGGGCTGGGCCAGCAGGGACTGGGGCCGCACGCACCTGTGCTCTCAAGATGGGTCCTCATGGCGGCCTGCACCAGAGCTGGGGGCGCCCGGACGGGAGGCCACGGATGCACGGACCGCAGGCCACAGGGCCACAGGGAGATGAGGTGAGGCTCTGCTGGGACCTCCCCACAGGAGCGTGGTTCTTGGCGGCCTGTTATGTCAGCCAGTGTGGAACAGAAGGATGGCCGTTACCTCAGCAGTCCGCTCGCTTCCTGGGAAACGGTCTGACACCTGCATTCACCTGCCCACCTCAGGGCGTCTCCGCTTCTCCTCCTCTCCTGTGCCCCAGTTTCCGCTTAGCAATATGGTCGTGTCGCCGTCAGCTGTGAGAGTGCAGTGTAAGTGACTATGAAGTGAGACCTATTCTTAGGTTGCTGCCACACCAGCAGCTCAGAATTTCACAATGTGATTTTGAGAAGTGTGAAGACTTTCTGCTAAATCTGGGAAAAGTTACAAGTGCCTGTCTGAGGTTTCTGCCCATTTGAAAACGAAGTCCCCTGGGGAGGCAGAGACCCCACCAGAGGCCTTGAAGTTAACTTACGAAAGCGCGTGCCAGGCTGCCGGCCTGGTCTAACTTCCTGGAGGCTGCGCGTGCAGTACAGGTCCCCCTCAGGGGGCTGCGGAGGGAAGGCCAGCAGCCTGCTCCAGGGTCTGGAACCAGCCTGGCCTGTGGGTTAATTCCCATGAGGATGTGCCCGGCCTGGTCACAGCAGCTCAGACTCCAAGAGGTGGGTGGGCTCTTCCCCCGTTGTGAGAGTCCAGAGACCACAGTGGCTGACTTTGGTTCGAGGTTCAGGGCGGCAGGACTGAGGTCCTTCTGGCTCCCTGGCCGTTTCCTCCTGGTGCCGTGACGGAGGTGGCGGTGCCAGCGATCAAAATGCCTTGCAGGCAAAAGGAGAAAGTGGTGCGATGGAAAGGGTGGCTGACCCCCACCCCCACCAAGTCAGCCCTCTAAAGAGCCTTCCTGGAAGTTGGAGGGTATACGCCTCAGGTGGCTGGGAACATAACCTCGTCTACCCCCCACCCAACCACAAAGAAAGGGGAAGAGTGGGTTGGGCAGCCCCCACACTTCGTGGCAAAGCCCTGCACATATTCGGAGGGCACCAGCACAATCTGCCTCCACCCGGTGGGCTCCCCTCCCCTCCGCTGCCCAGCTCCAGCTGCCCTGCCGTGCGCCGCCCCTCCTTGCTAGTACTGTGCCTTCTGTGGACAGGCAGCAAGATGACGAGGACCAGACGTGGCCCCTGCCCTCAAAAGCTGGGTCCTGGAGACAGAGACCAGGTCACACAAAGAGCAGCGCACTCGGCGACCACCCCTGGAAGGATGCCTAGCAGCCTTCGCAGTGGGCTGCAGGCCCTCGAAATCGTCCTGCGGGTCACCTGCACCACCACCCCTCCCTGCTGTACAAGGCGAGCCCCCATCTTCCACCCCAAGGCGGGGCTGGGACCGGGGCTGGGGTCACAGCCCTAGCAGGTGTCATCTGCATGAAGCATGTAAGCCAACCGAGACCCCACCTTCTGAGAGCGGGGACATCTGGCCCCTGTTGGCCCGACCCTGCTAAGCTGAGTTCTGTATGGCCAACACCGAGCTTCCAGAGCCGATCACTGGAGTGTCCCCTCCTCTACCCCTGCCCCAGGCGCACAGGTGCATCTGCCCGCCCCTGGCACTTGAGCCTAAGCCCTCCCAGGGCCCCTTGCCCCTCAGCAGTGACTTTGTTAACCCCATGCCTCCTTCCACTGCAGCGTCCACGCCCCATCTCCCACTTCCTCACCTGAGACAGGTTGGACAGACGCTCTTGCAAGGGGGGCCTGAGGGGGCTTAGAGAGGGGCCACCGATGGAGGCTGGCCAGGGCACCAAGCAGGGACTCGCCCAGCTGAGGAAGCCAGAATGAGCGCTGACCTCTCGGGCTTGTGGTGGAGTCCATGGGCCTCAGCCCGGGGCCAGGACTGGCTGGGGGGTGGGGTATCTCAGGGCAGGAAGCGGCCAGGAGGGCAGCTGCGGGGTGCCCAGGCTGTGGGCCAGGACCTGTGAGCAGGACGTGTGCCCGCAGGGTGGTCTCGACTTTGTGGGAAGAAGTCCAGTCCTGGCCGGGCACCCACGTGCCCCCATGGTTGGACCTGGAGCGGGCTCTGGTAGGTGGGGTACTAAGGGCATTTTTCATTTTGCACTTTTGAAATTTGATGTACTTTCAAAATTTTATTAAGTATTTCTTTGATTTCAAAAGTAAACTTTTACGAGAGCACCGCCCCTCCCACCACCTTCCCCTAAGCCAATGTGCAAAGTGGGAGGTGCTCCCAGCGTTCCCCGTGGTCAGCCTGCTCCCAAGTCCCCATCAGGGCCCCCACCCTGTGGTGGGCTGAGGGGGCTCTTTTCTTGGAAATGCTCAACCCCACCACGTCCCCTGCATGTTCCCCGGTCGGGATGGGCCCTCTGCCTCCGGTCGCCAGTCACTTGTAACCTGTGTTCTCCCCCTGGAGGCTGGCCTGGTGACGGTGGGTAACCCCAGCCAACAGGCCCCAGGCCGGGTTCTCCACCCCCTGCCGAGCCGCCACCTCCTGAGCGCCTTGCACCAGGACCTCGGAGGCCAGGCCAGCCCCGACCCCCGCACTTGCCCCTGTGCCACGGCCCTGTGACGCCCCTTGTTGGGACAGGGGCAGAGAGTGGAAGGCCCACACGCCAGGGTGGCTCCCCCCCCCACCTGTCTTCCAGGCTGGTTGCCCAGATTCACGATGAGCTGCTCTTTGAAGTGGAGGATTCTCAGATTCCTGAGTTTGCAGGTGAGCCCTGAGTAGCCAGGGTTGCTTCTATTCCACAGATAGTTGAAGCATCTCTCTAGGGACACCTGGCTGGGCCCCCCACCTGGCTCATAGTCCCAGTCCCCCTCCCTGCCTCCTACTGTGTCACCTGGGCAGGGGCTGCAGGAGAGCCAGCCTGGTTTGGGGGCCCTTGAAAGACCTGGATGGCCACACCCTGGCCAGCAGCTCTCAGGAGCACCAGGTGTTCTATGGTGGGGCCCTGGAAAGACGGAGGCGGCACTGGGACCTGCCAGGCTAGCGGGAGCCAGGCCGTGGGACCAACAGTGGGCTTAGTGCGGGGGCGTCGGGGTGGCTCAGCGCAGGCTCCAAGCCTGGGCCCCGCCCTGCCCTCTCAGACACATAGCCACCGGCTGTCGGTTCTGTGAAGCCAGAGGCCACCTGCCCCCCAACTCAGTCCTCAGGGAGAGCCTGGACCCCCTAATGCCCGTCCCGCAGTGGGGAGGCCCTCTATCCCGCCTCTCGGGCAAGAGCAGGAGCCGGAAGGGCCCTGGCCCCGCTATGCCCTGGCAGGGTCTGTGGGGCGGCTTGGAGGTTGGAAGGAGTTGGGGGGGGCAGCCTCCAGATCAGCTCCCAAGTGACGGTGGCTGAGCCCTCCCTCAGCCCCACCACCCGCTTCCCTTCAGAGAACTGCCCAGTGAAATGGTGAGACCACTGTCCTCAGCCATCCTACACCGAGGCTATGTCCTCTGAAATCTGTTTGGAAATAATAAGCCTGAAACAAACCATTTGGTGTGAATGACATGCTAGTTAAAAAAGAAAAAAAGTCCCAGCCCTGGAGGGAGCACCCTAGGAACCATCTAACACCCCCTTGTCCTGGGCGCCACCACGGGCAGGGAGGCAAGGCTCCCTGTGGCTCCCGGCGGGACACGGGGGCCTCCTGGCCGCCGGCCAGCACTCTGGAGGTACCACCAGCACCGTGCCTGGAAAGCTCTGGGCCACAACGCCACCAGGGACAGTGAGACAGGTGACCCTGGTGTCAGGGGGCTGGCAGCCACCTCTGAAATGTTGGGTGGTCAAGGCACACCTGCCAGTGGCCCATGGGGCAGACACCAGGCCCAGGGACCCTGCCCTCATGGTGGAGGCTAGCAACAGTAGGTGACCCACAGGGAGAGCCCTGGGCTAGGGGCCAGCTCTGCTCGACAGTCACTGCCCCTCTGCACAGTGGTTACTTGGGATCACTCATTCAGCCAGTCACACAAAGAAGGGGACACACAGGAGGACCTGGCGTTGTCTGTACACCCAGTGTAGCCCCAGCAGGGTGAGGGGTGCCAAGGTCCCGACTCCCCTGGGTGAGAAGCAATTGGACAGGGTGGCCAGGGCCCCTCCGCAGGGCTCCCTGAGAGCCCAGCAGGCCAAGAGCCCGGGGCGACACCGCCCACTGCCCACAGCCCGACCCAGGAGCCACAGCGACCGACCACGACCCCTGCCACCACCAGTGTCCATCTGCATCCTCAGAGAGCGCAGCGAGGCCTTCAGGCAGCTGCTGGCCCTGCCCTGGGAACCCCAGGGAGCCAGCCAGTTACCCTGGGGCCATGGAGGACCAAGAACAAGGCAGCACCGCCTGTTCCTTGGGAGTTTCCTTTGCCATCGTTGGGCTGAAATGTCAGATAACTTAGTAGGACAGAACGAACTACTCACTTACCAAAGGGGCAGAGGGTTTGGAGCAAACCCTGCGCCAGCCTACCCCTCCCTGCCAGGCTGCCCTCTTTCCCCAGGCCCTGTGGTGGCCAAGCCCCGAGCCCCAACCTCCAGTGCCACAGAGTTGCTGACAACTTCACTGTCACATGAAACTTCACAGGGACTTTGGTAGGGAGCACAGGCTGCCCTGCCCAGACCACCCTGGCCAGCCGGGGTTGCCCCGCACCCCCCACTCCTCCCAGCCCCAGAGCCTTCTGGACAAAGAGCGGAGGCCCCGGCTAGCACCTGCCCTGCCTGCCTGGCCCGGCCTAGGGCAGCAGAGGAACATGTGGGTGGGGCCACAGCACCGCTCGGGGGCCTGGAGGCCCCCTCGTCCCTGGGACCCACAGTTGGGGCTGGGTTAAGGCACCTTCAAGCGTGAGTCTAGGACACGGCCAGTGGGAACTGGAATGGGCCAGGGGGCCTCGGTGGGGAGTGCCAGGACAGCCAGCGCAGGGGAGGGTGACTGTGGAGTCAGGAAATAGGTGGGGAGCCTGGGGCCTGGGGGCCCTCCTGGCACCAGCCCCACCCAGGGAGGCTCAGGCTGCCGCCTCTCTTGCCTTTGTCCTAGCCCTGGTCAGGGGCACCGTGGAGTCCCTGAAGCACGTGCCGGCGCTGGAGCTGCAGCTGCAGGTAGGGGAGCGGGGAGGGGCGGGAGCCGGGCAGGCCACCCTCAACCCGGCCAGGCCGCCCCTAGCTGCGCACTCACAGCCAGAGGGAGGGGAGGGGAGAGGAGCCCTGCTCCCCAGGGGCAGAAGAGCCAGGCAGGGGCCACAGCACCCCCCTCTGCAGCACCTTGGCCCCCAGACTGCTGCCCTCCCCCATCTGCCCTGCAGAGGAGCCAGGTTACCCCCTGACAAGCTGTGTCCCGTCGGCCTGAGAGAAGCCACGGGCTCCGGGGCTGGCCTGGGGAAGCACCCATCAGACCTCCAAGCTGGCCGCCCCCCCGCCCGACTCCCGTCTGGTTACTCTCAGAGGGGCTCCGGGTCCTCACCAGAAAGACTTTTGGGTCTAGGCTCCCCAGGTGGTGGAGAATGTGGAGGGATCACAAGGAGGCCCTGAAAGCCAGGGCAGGATCGGGGACTCTGCCCTGTCATTCAGGAGGCAACTTGAAGCCACTGGAAGGGCGGCAGGGAAGAGTGGCCGTTGTCCCACGGTGGCCTCCCTTCCTCAGGGGAACAGGCCGTGTAAGTGCGCCCTGTGGCCCTGTGTTCTGGAGTAGTCTGTGCTTGCTCCTGCAGCAGGTGGAGGCGGGGAGGCCCCAGGTCCCCGGAAGCCCAGGAAGCCCCCCCCACTAGCAGCCGAGGGGGTGGCAGGGGCCCAGCTGTGGGTGCCCCCACCCTCCTGTTGACAGGGAGCTGCTGAGCCTTGGTGGTCAAGGACTTGCTCAGGATCAGGTCCCTGGGGGGCTCTCCAGGCCCCTCTGGCACCTCTTGGATTGGCACCAGGCAATCCCCCAGGGAGCACAGGCTGCCCCGGGACACCCCCCCACCGAGCACCTGCTAGTCCCAGCCCTTCAGGCCTGCTTGCTGCACAGGGGCCATGACAAGGAGTAGAGACAGCCAAGGTCAAGGCGTCATGACCGGGCAGGTGTCCTGTGAGCCTGTCGGCCGGTTATTGTGAGTCTGAGTGTGCATTCATCCGTGGCAGAGCTGCTGTGGCTAGGTCTAACCAGGTGTCTCTGGACAAGTGGCTGCCTATGCACTGTGGGCCCTCAGCCACCTGCGCAGGGCCTGGGAGGTGGCCAGCAAGGGCTGGCCCAGGCCTGGCGCTCACCTCTGGCTGCCACCCGCAGGTGCCCCTGAAGGTGAGCCTGAGAGCCGGCTGCTCGTGGGGACACCTGACACCCCTGCAGGAGGCCCCAGGCCCTCGGCCCCACCAACGTCCTGCCGAGTCTCCAAGCAACCACTCAGCCACCCCTGGGCCCCTCGTCAGCGCCAACCCCTAGTGTGTGCATTTCTCGCCTTCATTTTGTCTGTAGCCCCAGGCAACAGCAGCGAAGAGAACTGGTTTCCACCAGCCCGCTGTGTGGCCTTCCCCAAGGTCAGTCAGGCACTTTGTACCGCGGCAGGGCCACGTTCCCCCTCGGACGAGGGCAGCTGGGGCACTCCGAGTAAATGCCTCCGGGGCAGCCGTCCTCATCCCTGGCTGAGTGAATTCTTCCGGTGGGTGATAAATGCCGTGTGTCCCACAACCAGGGTGGGCCCGGGGCGGACAGCCTCGGCCCCTCTCCTGTGGAGCTGGGGTGGCGTTGGGTTTCTCCAGGCCGACAGTTGCTCACCACCTGGCCGGTGACCCAGGAGCGGCCGGCAGCCTGGAGCCCCCGCAGCACCCTCCCTGCCAGTTTCCCGAGCCTCCCACAGCCAGACACCTCCCTCCAGGCCATCCCCGAGGGCAGCGGTGTGCTGGACGAGAACACAGCCTGCAGACCTTGGGCTAGGGACCCTGACCAGCTCCTCCTGAGGGCCAGCGGGCCTGTGCACAGGTCCCCACCTGGCCAGGCCGGGGCCTCTGGAGTCACACGTGCCTAGGTGCTGCAGTCTTTCCAGGAGCCTCGTGTAGGCTAGTTACCAGCCCTTGCAAGCGGGCTGGCTCCCCTCAAGTCTGCTCTCAAAGCCGTCCACACAGACCCTCCAGTGTCGAGGGAGGGCCCAGCCTGCGCGCCTTGAGCTTTGCAGCAGCTTGTGGCGGAGGCCGATACGAGCCCCCATACACCATGGGGAACTGAGGCACGGCGAGTTACATCCCTGTACGAGTGCACACGGCCAATCAGTGTGCCAGTGAGGTCGCTGCTGAGCCCTCATCCTGCACCACTGCCCTGCCATCCCGTCTCGGCCCTGAGGGCCCATTGCTAGACCAGCCTCTCCCACCACGGCCTTGCCTGGGTCTGGGCCCTGTATGCCCCCTCTAAATGTGGCGTCCCGGCGCCCAGGCAGGGCAGGCATGAGCCGGCGCCCAGACGCAGCTCCAGGGGCGGGCAGGGCTCCCTCCCGCACATGCTGACACCGCTCTTGTCTCAGTGGGGACTGGCCCCCACACGCCCACCTCCCTTGCAGGGCCCACGGGACACAGGGCGATGTGGGTCATCACAGTTCAGCATGCCAGGCCCATTTTTCTCATGGCGTCAAGACCTTGTCACTGGTTTCAGGGGTGTGCAGGGTCTAGGTGGCCAGGGCTGACCACCGTGTGGTGGAACATTCCAGAACTGCCGCTGCCTGGGTTGTGTCCGTGTACCTGCGTGGCAGTGTTTGCATGCTCTGTCACCTCAGAGGCAAGACCACTGCTGGGCTTCGCACGAAACATCTCACTCAAATGACTGTCCATCCTTGGGAGCTGATGCCCCCCACGTGGGTGGGCGGGCAGTGCTGGCACCTGCAGGCCTGACGCTGTTTCTCCTGAGCCATCCCCGGGGAGGGGAGGGGCTTGACCCTCGCGGCTGGGAAGGGCAGAACCTGCTGGACGTTCCCTCCCGCAAGGGGAGCCAGGCCAGGGCCAGAGAGTGGGCAGAGGAAGCCTGACGTGGAGAGCTGTCCGTGGTGGGCTGGCTCAGGACCCCTGGACAAGGCTAGGTGTGTGTGTCCACCCTGAACCTCAGTGCCCCCGACCCACCTCCACGTCCCGCTCCCTAGCCTGAACCCCCAACCCCACATCACCCTCCCTCCCCTACGGACACAGGGGCCCACTGCTTCTCCCAGGTGGGCCTGATACTGGCCACCTGTGTCCCACACCTGCTCCAAGGAGGTGTCAGACAGGTGGACAGACACCCGAGCCTGCAGTGGAGCCCCCTGCCAGGGCTGCCAGCACAGGGCAGGGCCCCTCCTCCCCGGGAGGAGGAGCCCAGCGTGTCCAGGAGAGCAGCCCTTCCTGGCCCAGAACCGAGGGCACCTCTCAAGGAAGCACGGAGCCCAGTTCCATCCACTCTGATTTTATTGAAAAACAGCAGCATGGGGGGGGGGCTGGGCAGGCAGAGGGACCCCTCCCCCAGCACCTCCCGTGGCACACACGCAGCAGCCTGGGCCCACTCCTGGCCCCGGCCCCGGCCCCACGGCTGGTCTCGTCTGGGACACAGTTCGCCGCCCCCTGCACCCTGGCGGGGGCTGTCCTGGCACATCCTGGAGTCTCAGGAGTCGCCAGCCCTGGCTCGCAGTACCCCACAGGCAGTGAATCCAGCCACCATGACATGGCCTGGGCTCCCCCAGCCCAAGGACACAGCACCCACAGCAGCTGCGGTCAAACAGCCTGGCCGTGGTGACTCTTGTCCCCACATCTGATCTCGGCCCATCTGGCTGAGTGTCACTGCCCTTGCCACCCTCCCCACACACCAAGATCCAGGTGAAGGCTCATCCCGGTCGTCCCCCCTTCACATAGGCCTGCCCAGCACCCTCAGCCAGGGAGGAAGGAGCAGGGGGTTCCAGGTCTGCCGGGAGAAGAGGAGTGGACGAGGCCTCAGGGCCAGCCCGTCCCCACCAAGCACCTCCTGGCCTCCCCTTCCCAGGCTGGGGCAGCGGCCTCGGCCACCAGGCTCCCTCCCTGCACACACGCACACGCACACACACTCACAGGCATGCCCCTTCTCCAAAATGGCGAATTATTGCTGTTAAAAGAACACATCCAACAACGGCAGGCGGGGGCTCGCCCTCCTCCACCCCGGGCCCTGGGCTGCCCACTCCTCAGCGGGCCTCAGGCCACCACTGGAGCATGTCGTCGGTACCAGGAGGCAAACGTAGTCCCCAGTCCCCCATCAGCCCACACCCAACTCAGAACTCAAACTCCAGAAGCCTCGGCCAGAGGCCACTGGCACAGGAACATGGGCCCATGGCCAAAATGATTCACGGAAGCGGCTTCAGACAGACACAGGAGCAGCCGGTGACACACAGGACACGGCCAGAGAGAGGCAGCAGGCTCCCGGGCTCGGGCCAGGCCCTAGGGCAGGCAGAGGCCGGTGCCCACACAGCCAGCATGCCTCCCAGAGGCCAGAGCCAGGCCCTGTGGCCCAGAGAGCCTCCCACGCCACCCCCTCTAAGGGTGTCTCTGAGAAGACACCCCGAGCAAGCTGGGGGTCGCCCAAGGACCATGCAGCCTCAGGCCAGCTGCCCACATGGCCTCCAGCCCAAGGCTTCGGCCCACAGGGCGGGCTAGACCTCTCTCCCCACCCCTCCCCAAGGGCAGCGGTGGGATGCCAGGCTGGACATCAGTGGAGGCAGAAGGTGGGAGGCGTGGTCTCCGCTGTCCCGGAGCCGGACCACATGACTGGCCCCAGCACAAGCACACTGCCCGCCCTGGACGCCCACCTTTGGGGCCAGCTGTCTGAAGAGGCCATCGCCAGGTAGCGGCAGCCACCCTAGGGGCCGCCCGCCCGCCGTGCGGCAGGGCCTGGTGGCAGCGAGCCACCTGAGGTGCCGGAGCCCTTGGCTGCCTCGGGTCCCGCACCCGGAAGCGCCCCTGGGGCTTGTTTTCCAAGCTCATCTGGCGAAGACAGCCTGAGCGCTCTGTCGCCCACTTTCCACTCCAGACAGACAACAGAAGTCCTGGAAGCCCGGACCCTGAGCACAGGTGCCACCTTCCCACCTGGGGAGGCCCAGGAGGCCAGCGGGGACAGGGAGGGGGCCAGGGCCGCCCAACTCGGAGAAGCTGCCTGGACACGTCGCTGGGCGGGACCCCAGGAGGACGCTTCACAGAGGTAGAAGCAACATCAGAGTCTCTACAAAGGTAAAAACCTCACATCTCAGTGCACGTTTGTGGAGCCGTCAGTGCCCAGGCTGGAGGAAGGGTGGGAGATCTGCCCCAGGGGCCCCTGGGGCCCAGGAGCCGCACGCTGGCCGGGCAAGGGTCCTGCCCTGGGCTCAGCGTGCACCCAGCCCGGCAGGCACACAGGCGCCTCTGCCCACCTGAGGGGCCAGGCAGCAGCTGGGCAGTAGAGTTCCAGACGTGTGGCCAAGCTGCCACACGCCCCCTGGAATCTCTCTTGGCAGCAACAAAAGGGCATAGGAAAGGTTGGGAGCCCAGCCAGCGCCTACCACCCTCTGGGCCACCAACCAAGGGCACGCAGCTCTAACAGACACCAGCGGGACGGGAGGGGCCACACCACTGCCTGGAGCTACACCAGCAAGGCGCTTGGGTTGATGCCAGCAGACGTGGGCAGCCCCATGGCTCTACCCGGCCCAGTGGGCTCCAACGGCCCCCACCCTCACACCCCCACACCAGGGACTGGAGGCCCAAAGGCACAGGATCAAAGCTGGCAGCGTCCCAGGGCTGCCCCCGACGAGACACGACCCGCCACGCAGACCTCGCGTGGGCCCTGCCTGCGCTTCCCCGCTGGCCAGGCCTCAGACCAGCCTCGGCCCCAACTCACCCTCGGCCCCAACTCAGGCCACCCCAAGCCGAAACCAAACCAAACAGAAAGAGGAAAAAGGCACAGCTGTTTGTTTTCCATTTTGCTAAAACACTTTACGTCTGTCTGTATAATCCACATTAACAAAATCTGAGAGCTGCAAGAAAATAGGGTGCCGATTTCTGTACAGTCTACAAAACTCCCATCCCCAAGCAGGGACCGGGCGCCACCAGGGAGAAATGTACAGGGGAGAGCGGGGTCTGTACAATGCTCTGCAGACACTCGGCTGCTGACGGCACAAGAGGCCCCGCAAGGAACCGGGCTGGCTTCACTCATCGCTTCTTTCCAAGTGCCTCTTCCAGAACCGCCCGCCACGGCCCCGCAGGTGGGGCTCAGTCGTGGCCCTCCACTTTCCCCTCTCCCAGCCCCCAGAGTAAGGGGGTCTTTATGCCCTCCTGCCACCAGGCCAGGTCCAGGCACACAGCTGGACATGCTGGCACTGCCAATCACTACCTTCCTTTCCCCCCTCTGAGCCTCCCACACCCAAGAGCCCATGCTTGCGACCTCAGGAAGGAGAGGGTGGGAGCACAGCTGCCCCCACCCCAAGCCACAGTGAACCCACTCGCCCCTCGCAAAGCTTCTGCAGGGCAACAAGGCTGGACAGGGGTCCCAGAGCCTCCTCACAAGCCAGGAAATGCTCTTTGGGGGAAGTTATATTACATCAGGGTCTCCCTCCAGATTCCAAACTCTGAAACCCTCCACCCACCCGGCCACCCACTCCCACCAAACTGGGCCAGAAATAGTGCATATTCTAGACCACACAGGTGTGTGTGTGTGTGTGTGTGTGTGTTAAGGTATCAACTACCACACAGGTGTGTGTGTGTGTGTGTGTGTGTGTGTGTG